TGGAAATCATCATCCTCAGCAAACTAACACAGGAACAGAGAATCAAATACCTCATGTTCTCGCTCATAAGTGGGAGTTAACAATGAGAACACATGGACACAGGGAAGGGAACATCACACACCAGGACCTGTTGAGGGGCGGGGGTCAAGGGCAGGGAGAGCATTAGGACAAATACCTAATGCATGTGGGGCTTAAGCCCTAGGTGACAGGTTGATAGGTGCAGCAAACCATATGGCATACGTATACCTATGTAACAGATCTGCATATTCTACACATGTATCCCAGAACTTAAAGTAAAATTTTTAAAAATAATAATAATTTAAAGAGGGAAGCAGAATTTGTTTTTGAAATACAGAAAAGGAAGCTTAGCAGTCTAAGTACATTAAAGAAGGCTTCATAGAGAAGGTAACACCTGAGCAGAGTAAGAAAGAGTAAGTGGGAGTTACTCAAGTAAGGAAAGAGGGGTAAGCACATTCTAGACAGAGAAGACAATATATATACAGACAGGGAGTAATAAAACAGCATTGTGTGTGGATGAGAATTGTGAGCAGTCCTGGACAATAGAATGTAAAATGAAAGATGGAAAGTGGTGGTGATTGAAACTAGAAAGATCATAGGAGGGTGGGAAAGAGAGGAAATTTTGTATGTCATGTTGAAAAGCTTGGAACATATCTTACAGAGATATAAAACCAGTGGTAAGGTTTGAGTGATGGAGTTCAGGACACACTACCCCAGAATATGGGAATATTTATAAAACAACAGAAGAAGGAAGGTAACTCTCACCTTCCCCCAACTCTTCCCCCATGAAGCAGGTCACAAAACCCTCATTTGACAGGTGCTGTCTCTATACCCAGAGGAAATGAACATTTGTATATCTCTAAAAACACAAGGTAACTGACAGCAATCTGAACGAACAGGCATATCTGAGTTCTCCCCAGTTAACTGTCATTAGATCATGTGTTTTTATCCAATCATGCTTCATCACTATCCACTTCTCCATCAAACCTAGAATAAATATGCACAAATTTTACTGTTTCTTTGTGTTTTCCTTTCCCTATGTAAAACTATATTAAATAAATGTGTGTATGTGCTTTTCTTAAAAAAAAAATGAGGTTTGGTGCTTCTCCCTCCCTGGCTCTTAATAACTTTTAAAGAAAGGTCAGATGTGTTTGCAGAAGATGTTGTGGCATTTTCCATAGGGATTGAGACATCAGTTCTTCTCTCCATGTGCCCACAAACTATTCCAAATGGCTTTAGTATTCTAGTTATATTTTCTGTAGCACAGTAAAATAGGTATGTTATCATTACTTTTTTAAATGTTTTTGTACCAATGGTTTCTTCTGGGAACATCTGTTAGCTCTATGCGCTATATTTTGGGAAACCCCTACTTCAAGAAGAGAACAAAGCCTTTTATCTGAACAATGAAAAAATATATATTACCACAGATTTATATGAAAAATGAGATTATCACTAAAGTCAACATATACAACACCAATTCTACATTCAATACTGTCAGAAGCATTTGCTTCAAGAAAGCGCAGCCTGTGAACTTAGAACTTGAATCCCCTTATCTGCTTCTTACTAGAATCATTTACTGTAAATTTTATGAAAACTCTAACTCACCTTTTTAAAGGATTAAATGGAGTCAGAAACAATGAAATGTAGCTCAGAGAAGTGACTAATGGATAGCACATGCTCTATAAATGTGAGCTATTATTATTCCTGTTTTTTGTAAAGAACTCAATAAATGGAACTGTTGTCATAACTATATACAGGTCAAAATCATGTAGGTAGGCCCAGCATGGTTGTTCTCATCTGTTATCCCAGGACGTTTGGAGGCCAAGGAGGAAGGATCACTTGAGCCCAGGAGTTCAAGATCAGCCTGGGCAACATAGCGAAAACTCATCTCTTAAAAAACTTACGTAGGCAAATTAATAGAATGGCAACTTTTAACTTTCTGTGTACAGAAGTTAATATCAGTACAGAAAAAGGAGCAGGGAGTTTTCAGAGTGACAGCATCATTAGAGGCATCATTGGAGGGAAGACAGGCAACTTATAAAGTTCAAAGGCATGGGAACCTAGAGCTGCCCCTTCTGTCTTTCTTTTAATTAGAGTCCAAAGGTAAAAAGGAGATTCAATCCAGAAACAAAAGAACATGGCAAAGCCTATCCCCAAGTTATTCAGTCTTAAAGAGATTTCAGTTCCAGAGAATAGAAAGAGGATTTATATCCCAATTCATTTCATGAAGCTAGTATAACCTAAATACCTATGTCCCACAAAGACAATACATATGGCCCCGACTTATGATGCTTCCACTTAAAATTTTTCGGCTTTACGATGGCAGATAAAAGAAATGCGTTCAGTGAAAACAGTACTTTGAGTAGCCATATAATCATGTTTTTCACTTCCAGGACAGGATTTAATAAATTACATGAGACAAAGTTATGATAAAATAGACTTTGTGTTAGATGATTTTGCACAACTGTAGGCTAATGTAAGCATTCTGGGCACATTTAAGGTAGGCTAAGCTAAGCTATGATGTTTGCTAAGTTAGGTGTACTGAATGCATTTTCAACTTACAAAATTTTCAATATATGATAGATTTATTTGGACATAATTCTATGATAACTTGAGCATCTCTACATAAAATAAAAATATAGGCTAATATCACTTCTGAGAACACACATACGAATCCTAAACAAATTAGTAATGCATAGATTATTCAAAAAGGATAGTGTGTCATGCCTCAATGTTTCCCCCTAGGAATGCAACATTGTTTTAAACATAGCAACTTACTAATGTAATTCACAATGTTAACAGATTAAGAAAAGAAAAAGTCCTGTAATCATCTACATGCATTACAAGTGCTTCATGAAAGTCAACATATATTCAAGATAGTCCTAGCAAACAGAAAATAGAATGGAACTTCCTATTCTAATAAAATGTCATCTGAATGCAGTTTATCTATTATTGATTATCTATTAATGTTAATATTATCTACTTGTTAGATATTACTTATATTATTTATTATTTATTATATATTTATTAGTATTTATTAGTCATTATTTACTATTTATCAGATATTATTTAGTAATATTCATTAGACATTATTATTATATAATAATTATTAGATATTATTCTATTATTAGGTAATATCTATTGATATTATGTATTATTATCTATTTTTAAAAGCACGGAAAACATGGCAAAATGTTTAAAAAAAGTTTCCAGTGCCTACTAGACATAAGAGAAGGATGGCCACAATTACTGGTTCTAATCAGCATTGTATTAGGTGGATCCAGCCAATGTTGTAAAATAGGAAAAAGGAAAAAGTACACTGTTTGAAATGTCAAAAAAGAAAGATGTTGTTATTCAAAGATGATATGATTGTTTATGTTGAAAATCGGAAAGGATCTAGAGGTAATCTGGAATAAGGATATTTAGCAAGGTTACTGCATAGAAAATTAATATACAAACATGATATCTGTTGGTTAAATGGAATAAAAAAGTGTTTTCTCTGCTCTTGCCCTAAAACCAATAACATGAAAGACTTCTGTGACAAAATATGCGGGGGCTTTTCTCCACAGACCAAGCAAGCAATCAGTTTTGCAGCATACATCAGCTGGGTACCCTCTCATTCAACCCCGATAGTATCCACCTGGAGATAGCATCAGATTGCACAGGTTGAGGGCTCAGTCCCACAAGAGAGCCCTGTCAATTGCCACAAGCCCTAGTTTGTTTTACTGTGTTTCTGACTCACCAGCTATAAATTGAATTTCCCATGACTCCTACTCAGGTTCAATTAATTTGCTAAAACATCTCATGACTCAGGGAAACATATATCTTTATGGGTTGATTAAAATAAGACATTAGAAAGGATGCAGATAAAGAGATGCATAGAGTAAGGAATGGGTTAAGGGGTAGGGAGTTTCCATGCCCTCTATGGAAATGCTGTCCTCCATGTGTACAGCTATCCAGAAGCTCTCTGAACCCTGTCCTTTTGGGTTTTTGTGGAGGTTTCCATTATACAGGTATAATCGATTAAACCACTTGCTGGCCATTGGTGATCAACCGAATCTTCAGCCCCTCTCCCTTCCCTGAAAGTTCCAGCCCTCTAATCCCCCATTCTAAAGTTACACAGGGGTTGCTAGGCATCAGTCAACTCGTTAGCATACAAAAAGACATCACTTTGTGGAGACTCTAAAAATATTAAGAGTTGTATACCAGTATAGAGGCTTGAGGACCAAATATATATTTATATATTTCATAATATCACAAGTGTGTATACCAGTGTAATCAGAACACAAAATTTCAAAAATAATACTTTTCCTTTTTTTTTTTTTTTTTTTTTGAGACGGAGTTTCACTCTTGCTACCCAGGCTGGAGTGCAGTGGCACGATCTCGGCTCACCGCAACCTCCACCTCCTGGGTTCAGGCAATTCTCCTGCCTCAGCCTCCCGAGTAGCTGGGATTACAGGCACGCGCCACCACGCCCAGCTAATTTTTGTATTTTAGTAGAGACAGGGTTTCACCATGTTGACCAGGAAGGTCTCGATCTCTTGACCTCATGATCCACCTGCCTCGGCCTCCCAAAGTGCTGGGATTACAGGCGTGAGCCACCGCGCCCGGCCTTTTTTTTTTTTTTTTTTGAAACAGAGTGTCCCTCTGTCAACCAGGCTGGAGTTGCAGTGGCCTGAACATAACTACCTGCACCTTCGACCTCCTGAGTTCAAGGGATCCTCACACCTTAGCCTCAGGAGTAGCTGGGACAAAGACTACATACATACATGCATACATTCATGCATTCATTCATTTACTTTTGCAGTGAGGGAATCTCACTATGTTGCCCAAGCTGGTGTCAGTTTCCTGAGCTCAAGAATTCCTCCTGCCTCAGCATCCCAAAGTGCTGGGATTACAGGCTTGAGTCACCACACCCGGCCACCATTTTCAATAGTATCAAATATTTGGGAATACAACGAACAAAAGATGTACAAGACTTCTTTGGAGAAAGCTGCAAAAGTTTATTTAGATATTTTTAAGTCAAATATCTTATATAAAAACACAAACTTTGTGTTGTTGCAGCTTGTCTTCATTTAAGACTGTGGTTGCCTGTCATCTGTAATAGAAACGAAACAGGAGGGAACATTAGTAACAGAACTAGATTCAGATGACATTAAAGGTATGCAAAGGAAACTGAAGTTTTGGTTTTATGCCATGGACTAAAACCAGAAGCCTAAGAGTAACCCGATGGCTAACATTCAGTTAAATCTCTGCAGAGACTTTGAAGATAGACTTCCAAGCATATATATTAGCAACATTTTCAAAACACCTTTTCTGTAGTTCAAGGAAACCAAAAACTGTCTAACTTCAGAACATAATTAAATCAAGTGAACTTATTAAAATGTGGCTCCAAGTGAAAAGCAACCATTGTGTATAGTTTTAATAAAAATATAACCAGCTGGGCACGGTGGCTCACACCTGTAATCCCAGTACTTTGGAAAGCCGAGGTGGGCGGATCACGAGGTCAGAAGATCGAGACCAACATGGTGAAACCCCATCTCTACTAAAAATACAAAAAGTTAGCTGGGTGTGGTGGCAGGCACCTGTAATCCCAGCTATTCGGGAGGCTGAGGCAGGACAATCGCTTGAACTCGGGAGGCGGAGATTGCAGTGAGCCGAGATCACGCCACTGCACTCGAGCCTAGCAACAGAGCAAGACTTTGTCTCAAAAATAAAAATAAATAAATAAATAACCAACACAAAACAAACCTAAGAAACAAAGGAATTTACAAATAATGTATAATGTAATGTTTTGGCTTGAAATTATAGTTGGGATGTTCAACAAGCTCCTGGGAAACAGTTAATGTCACATGAGGAGCTGTGTAAGTGCTGTGAACGGAAAGCTCAGTGTTGCACTTTATTTTCTCTGTTGTGCAGAAGTGCAAAAATGATGCTTGGGGCTAGTTTATCCTTCTGTGGTCTTTAAGGTACAGTAACCTTTTGTCCAAGATTTTCACCTATGATCCTAATGTCAATATGAAGAGTCCCTCTTTTTACAATTGAAAGTATTCCCATTGGTAAAATTAATTACATGGTAATATTCAGTTTAATCTATCACTATTATTTTTGACATCAAAATGGGAAAGAGGCATATATCATGAATAGTGGTGCAAAAAAAGAAATGGAGGGAAAGGAAAATACAAAAAGAGAGTAAGACATCTGGAAATGCCAAGTATTTGTTTGTAAAAGTTAAGTGTTTTTGAGGTATAAGTGGTAAATTTCAGAAGGTCTTCCACAGTCTTTGTGATGTTTAGATATTCAGGTATTACTAGAATATATTAACTAATGTGTATGTTCCTAGCATATCAATCACTTCATTCATATTTTGAAAATATTGGAGTTCAAGAATGTATTCACTTTCAATTATACCATATATTCAGTATCTGTTCGGGTCTTGTTCATATTTCATGTTGAGCTTTTTCCATTTTCTTTAAGAGTATGTAAACTATTACTGTACTCATAGGTATTTTTCAAAAGAACAATCTTTTAAATTTCTTACTTTTGGATTATATTTTCTTTTATTAGTTATTCAGACCTGTCTCTTATTAAGTACCTCTTTCCTTTTCCCTTAGATTTATTCTATTGCTCTTTATTATTTTCATTTTTAATTATTTTCCTTTCTCATGTAACTTGCTATCTATTTTAACAAGATATTTATTTAAGACTATAATCTTCCTAAGAATACAATTGAGGCTTGTTCAATGGGCTCCTGGAAATAGCTGAAAGCTATCTTTCAATGTAAGTAGTCTAATGGAAAGGTTCAGCAGTACAGAGCAAAAACATTTAGGTAATTTCTTCTATAAACATGGAATGCTTCCTATAAATTCAGAAGCTCTTCTGATTAAAAGTCTCCAATTTGGAAACTACATGGAAAAGATACTTTCATCAAGCAAGTTCCCTGCTTATTTTCTTGGGAACCAAGATATTATAACTGGAGTTAAATTGATTGTTATGAAAAACAAATCATATCTTTGCGTTCTATCCAACAGAACATGAGGATACAGAAATCAACTTGGAAACAGAATTTAATATATCTGATTTGCATTTACTATTTTCAATAACAGCAAAAGATGGGTGTAGAATTTATGGAATTCATCCAGAATCTCACAAATAATGTTACAGCTGGTACTAGAATCTGCTTAAGATGCTCAGGATACTTCACATCAACTAGTATTACAAATGCACTACGTATTTGTCAAAGGCAGAAATGAGAAAAGAATCTGAAAATTGTTAGTTGTTGGGTATAATCAGAAATAAGAATATGCTTTCATACTTGATGATTCAATACAGCTTTGACCCATTTTGCATCTGTATCTGATAGTGTTTAAGTCTTGGCAGTCAGGCAACTGGGGTCTGAAGAACCTTTCAAAGAAAGTCTGCATTTGAACTCTGATTTTAAAGGGGCAGTAATGTTCTCTCTTACTATCAAAAGTATAATATTGTGGAAAACAGAAAGCACATAATTTTGCATCTTAATGGATAGCATACCTCCTCCTGGCATTTTAAATTGCTCTGATTCTGGGAGAATCTTCCCCTGGTCATCAGTACCATCTCCACATTCATCCCCAGTCTTTGACTGAGACAGCTCCTGGAGACCAGCTTCCAGATCAGGCACTAAAAATTACAAAAGTTCTTGATTGAAGCAGGCAAACAAGAAAGACAAATAAGGAAATGATACTATTATTTTCCTCAGTGTTATGAAATAAAATCCTATAGCCTACTGTGCTAATAAATGTGATGTAAAGATGTCACAACTTTGTTTTCTGCTATTATGAAATCTTATCTATGACAATCTGAGAAAAAAATCATACCACACTTACATTTCCTATACTTTACCACTGTGTATTTTAAACAGTGAGTATCAGCTATCTAGGAAATCTGAGGACTGCCCAATGGATAGCATTTTAATCATAACTTAAATGTAATTTTCTGAAAGATTAGATGAATATATTGGTGAACCCATGACAAATCTTACAGTCCTGACACTCATCGCCTTTTGATGTAACTGGAAAATTTTTGGTTAAAATTAAACAAACTTAGGTCCAAAGGCCCTAAATGTAACTTTCCATAAATGAATCCCATTTAGAAAAAAGTAACAGCAAAATCACTGTCTTCCACAAGAGTACAGGAATTTGAGTGAAAAAACATAAATGGGCATTGTTGACAGTCATATTCTGGAAACCCCTTAACAGTGAATTGCTAAAACATTCCATGACCCAAATTCTGTCAATGTTTAACTTCAAAACGCTATCCATTGAGGAAATTTCTGTGTCATGATAATCTTATCATACTTTGAGTTTTCTAATTATAAAAGTATTTAAACAACTCTTAAAAAGTCGCTTAAAATCATGTTAATATAGCTACCTGTATGTCAATGTCCCCTGAATTATCTAGCTTTTACCAAATATACTGTCAAAAATACACATCAAGGGAAACAATGGCTGTCATTTACTGAGCTTGTTTCTGGAGTTGCTATCCTGCTTCACTGAACTGTGTTTCCCTGAGCCAATACAGAACTACCTTGCAATACAGACACTTTCAGGTATTAACATTTCAAACAAAATCATTCATGTTTTCTAACAACATAGATGGTATGAAGAACACAAACCATGGAATGAAATATGAATTCCTTCTCCATGAGTCAAGTGTTCTTGGTAAACCTCAATCTTGGAGACTCAGTTTTCTTATTTATAAAATGGGGTTAACATCCTTATGCAAATGGGCTTTATTCAGGGTACTATAAGGTGGGGTGACTTGGCATTCTACATACTATTAAAGGGTGCGTACAATACTGTGGACACCATGGCTGAGAAGATCAGACAACAACATTCTAAGAAGATCAAATTAAACTAGTGAGATAATGTACATTTTTGTACATCAAATTAAACAGTTTCATCTGATTTAGCAAGAACTGTATTTTCAAGCATACAAAATATATTTCAAAGGTAACAGAAGATTCATTATATCCAGGGACTCCAGGGAGCTACAAACTATACTCTTCACTTTTCCAGCCAACTCTCAGCCAAAGTTTGAGATCCTTTCCTAATGTTTTCTTTCCTCCTGTTACTGGTCATGGCATAAGGCATGACGCACACATAGGCCTCCTCCCCCCATACACATTCTTTCTTTTCCTTCCCAGCACCTTGAATCTCAGCTGCACCCTGATCTTCTTCTCTCTCCTGACCAGGCGTAGGATTCTGACTTTCAGCCAGTGGTTCCTCTTGCTGAGGCTCCTCATTATTAGGCTCCTGGAACGAGAGGTGTGTACAGATAAAAAGTTTTGTTATCAATACATTTCAATAATATAAATATACAGAATACATTGATATTTCTGATCATAAGTCTACAGACATTTCTCCAACACTATTCCACATACTTATGCTTCATAAAGTTACTCTTTCCACAGAGAGGTTACTCTGAGACAGTTGCCCTCAAGGGCTTTGGAAGCTGTTTTAATGTATGTTGGGATGAATGTGTGTAATCTTTTGCAAATAAGCATGAGAAGGAAATCATGGGCAAAATCTGGGGAACACAAGATCATCCATCCAGAGAACAGAACTTAAGCCTCTTGGATTTGTCTTTCTTTCATGAGATCCCATGATCATTTTTATCAGCACAGGAGACCTTTATGAGTGTATCTATACTGGTTCAGCAACAATTACAAAACTATGTTATGTAACAACAGTAAGTTACAAAAATGACTTTCTGCTAATAGAAAACATCAAAGGTTAAGGCACTCACCAGCATAGGCCCAATCAGCTCAGGAGGTGGTATAGTTCTACTTGGTCTAGGCCTATATGTTGATCTTCCTCTCCAAATCATATTTCACACTGCCAACAAAATACTGTGAATTGGTAAATGTACTTGAAAGGACAGATGTATTTGACCGCTTCCATGACCAAATGTTAACTCGCCATTTTTTTAAAGTTTGTAAATACTTTCAAACTAAGTCACAGGGCAAGTGTAAATGTGTGTGCCTTCTTAATTCTTGCAAAGCCACTTAAGTTGGTCAAGCTAGCTGAGCAATGTCTTAAGGCTCCTGGCAAAAGACAAAGGATATTTCTGATGAGGTTTGGTTTCACAACTGAACTGTCCTCCATGGAGACATTTGGGAAAATACAGCCAGAGAATTAAAACTGCAGTGGCCATGGCTTTTGTCACACACCCATTTGTTAGGCCCATTTTCCCCATAAAATCAAGTTTTGTTGGAACGCAGAGCTCCACCCATTCAAACCTCCACAGTGGACTTGAGAAGTTGCCACACAGCGCTGGGCCCTCCTCACTGGACACCTCTGCTGGGAACTCTACAGACATCAGGCCGGCGGTCAGCAACCCGCAGCATTCCCAGTTCCCTTCCTTAATGTCCACCCCGCTCCTTCCTGGTTTCCACGGAAGAGTCTGGAATCTGTCCTCTGTTGAGGGTTCCAGGGACTCAGATACCTTCCCCAGTACCCCCAGCACTCACCATATCTTCACCTGACCCCTCTCAACGATGTGGCCCACCTTCTTCCCTCGTTCTGATCCCCGCACTACAAGGCCCATGGCAGTCCCACCTCACGAGGAGATCGATCACCTTGAGACCCTACGGCCTCCGAGGCCATGCTGCCCCACACTCCGGACAGCCACTGGCTCCTCCTCACACTCACTCACACTTCAACCCCTGCGAGGACTGGCCTGCCGACCTACCAGTTACGTCTCTGTAGGACAGAAAAAGTCCAGCCAGCAGGAACGCGATCCTCACACCCTCACAGCTCCGCGGTGTTTATCACATGCACAAAGGGGTGGACGGGAAGACTTCCAGTGAACATGCGCAGTGAGGTTGGTGCCTGCCTTGTGGGCTGTGGCACCTCTCCTTGCCCCACCCTATCCCGCGCTGAGCAGGTTCCTACTGAAGACGTCGGAATGTGCGGTCTGTGAGTGGTTTCATATGCCTCCGGGACTCAAATACCACAAATAGTTTCCTCCTTCAAAACTCACTCCTTGGTCACTAGATCCTCCTCCCCTCTATGGCCCTCCTTCCTTCCCTGTCTGGGACCCCCACGACAGCAAGGCCATGGCTGTGTCGCCGCCTGTTAGGAGAAGGACAGGGACCTCAAGGTCCTTCCCCCTAGGAGGCCATGGACCGCGCCCGCGGGCTCCTCCTCACACTCACTCACACTTCACCTCTGGGAAGACTGATCTGCGGACCTACTGGCTGACTCCCGGTCAGCAACACAGAAGGAAGTCATGATGTCTCCTTGCACAGCTCTGCAGGAAAAGAAGGCAGACAGCAAGGCATATGGGCAACAAGGCACTTGGGCAGCAAGGGGTATGCACACTCAGTCAGGTACATGCAAGACCAGCCGGGGTTTTCCCTCTCTCCCTAGACTCGCATCCCTAAGGTGTTTGTAGTAGAACGAAAGGGACTAAGAGGCTTTGTTCTCTCTTTTGCCCTACAATTCTCATGCATCCAGAAACACTGGGAACAGACAGTCCCATGTTACCATTAGTGGAGGATGTGTCTCAGAAGCACCTTTTGTGACAAAAATAAATTATTTTAATATGTATATTTATACATGCTTTTTTCTCATTTATATATGCATGGGTGCCTGCCATGTTGCAGAAAATATCTGGGATGCTGGTCACACGTGGTATGTCCCATGGAGGCTACCGCACTGTGGTGGGGCAGACAGACAGTTAAACAGAAGAGCATTTGAACTACAAAGGAGAAACAGGTAACGGACCCAGTGTAGTAAAGAACAATGAATGTATTGGTCAAGAAGCAGGGGGAAAGCAATACAATTTCTCAAAAAGACAAGATTTCTCCATTGCCTTTGCACCTTTTTTGAAAATGACTTTATCATGTCTGTGAATCTATTGCTGGACTCCATTCTGATCTGCTGATTTTCCCCCAGTACCACATTCGCTGGATTACTAGAATCAACATGACTCTCGACATAAAGTAGTGTGAGTTCCCCAAAGTTATAGTTCAGAATCGTTTTAGTTGTTCTGGTTCATTTTCCTTCCTATATAATTTTGAAAAATGACTCCAATGAAGTGGATTGTATAAGTTCATGCAGTTTTGCTGCGAAAAGCAGCAGGTAAATGTGTTAGTAGCCACAGGAGGATATGGGGGAATAAAGCGAGTTCTCCCTTAGCTTGGGGAATGATCCCATTTAGAGGCAGCAGGTGGTGGTTCAGGAGACAGGAGTGGGCCGGGCACGGTGGCTCAAGCCTGTAATCCCAGCACTTTGGGAGGCCGAGGCGGGCGGATCACGAGGTCAAGAGATCGAGACCATCCTGGCCAACATGGTAAAACCCCGTCTCTACTGAAAAATAGAAAAATTAGCTGGGCGTGGTGGCATGCACCTGTAGTCCCAGCTACTTGGGAGGCTGAGGCATGAGAATTGCTTGAACCCAGGAGGTGGAGGTTGCAGTGAGCTGAAATTGTGCCACTGCACTCCAGCCTGGCGCCTGGCGACCGAATGAGACTCTGTCTCAAAAAAGAAAAAAGAAAAAAAAAAAAAAAAGGAGAGAGGAGTGATCATTGCAGGAGCAAAGCCCCTGAGAAGGTGGGAGGCATGGGATCCTGAGCTGAGGTGAGGGGCTGGCTTCAGTCAAGAGCATTGTATGCAGAAGGTTGGTGGAGAATGCCAGGGCAAGCATGGGTAGGCTGGGTTTGGGAAGCTTTAAGAGTTCTCAGCAGATCGCTTCTCTCCTCTGAATGAATCATTATGGGAGGTCATTCAAATGGAGGAGCGTTTCTAACACTGTGGGCATGTTGATATAACTATAGAGAAATACATCCATCATCATTAACAGAATATTTCTAGAAATATGAATGTTGAAGCTCTTATGGTGAGCTCTCAGACAGGAATGGGGAACACGTTTTTGGAAACACGTGGACACACAATCCTTGTAAGAAAGTAACAGAGAATTTGGCTGGATTGCATTCTGTTAGATGCAGATTAAAACTTATAAGTGATGAAATTGCATATGTAACTAAGAATATTTCAAAGTATTAAAGTTGTGGCCTGGTTTCTCCTCACTGCTGTTTACAAAATGCAAGGGAGGAGAAATAAATCAACAGAACTGCTGAGCAAAAAGGAATCAGCCCTTGATTATTTAGAAGATTCTCAGCCTATCCAAATAGCAAGCTCTGGAAGTAGGGCCAAGTGTGTAGTGGGACAGCTGATTGCTAAAGAGATGAGGGATGTGAGTCATGGATCTAATCAGCCATCTCAGCAGAATGCAGGGATGGAGATGCAGTTATCCAGGAAAGATCTATGGAGGACTGAAGGTCTGTTGGCATGGACGCCATGAATTGCATCAGAGGCCAACATGTGTTTGAGGATTTTAAACCAATAGAAGCACAGCCAGCCTGGAATGAAAGGGACAAAAATGGTACAAAATAAAGGAAGAGTGACTTTGAGGGGAGAGCTACAGATGCAGAGGCTGGCAAGCTGCCACTGCCTCTATAGGTCCAGGCAGCAACTATCTGGGGAACAGGAATCCAGATGCTTCCTCCTTAGCTCCAGATGACAGAGCCACCTCCTCAATTTCAGGGAACAGGGCTTTTGCCCAGGGGCAAGGGAGCAGAGCTAACACTCAGGGCCAAGAAGGCAGAGCTGCCACCCTACTTGGCCCAGAGGACACAGCATCAAGCCAAAGAGGACCATTCTGAAGCCTTAAAATCTCATGGAATTTGCTCTGCTAGGTTTCAGACTTGCTTGGGCCCCATGACTCCTTTTCTCCTTCCATATTCTCCATTTTGGAATGGGAATGTTTCTCCTATGCCTGCACCTTCATGCTGTTTTGGAAGCAGATAACGTCTTACCTGGTTTCACAAGTTCACAGAGGGAAATAATTTTGCCCCAGGATACAACATACTGAGTCTCACTCTTTCTTTATTTTGATGACATTTGAAAGAGATTTGGGATTTAGAGTTAATGCTGGAAAGAATTAAGAGTTTTGAGGGTGTTGAGGTGAAGTGAATGTATTTTGGATGTGAGAGGACATGAATTTTGAGGTGCCAGATGGTGGACTTTTACATGCTAAATCATGTCCCCTTCAGAAATTTATGCAAGCATAAATCATAGATATTGCATGTAGTGTTCCAGACCACCACAATAAAGCAAGTCACACACATTTTTTGGTTTTCTAGTGCATATAAAAGTGATGTTTATAGTATGTTCTCACTCATAAGTGAGAACTAAGCTATGTGGATGCAAAGGCATAAGAAGGCTACAATGGACTTTGAGGACTCAGGGGAAAGGATGGGAGTAGGGTAAGGGATGAAAGACTACAAATTGGGTACACTGTATACTTCTTGGGTGATGGGTGCACCAAAATCTCATAAATCACCACTAAAGAACTTGCTCGTGTAACCCAATACCACCTGTATCCCAAAAACCTATTGAAATAAAAGGTTATAAAATAATAATAAAAGTGTTGTTTACACTACACTACAGTCTGTTAACTGTGCAATACTATCATGTCGAAAAAATCTACATACCTTAATTGGAAAATACTATATTGCTAAAACATGCTAAAGATCATCTGAGCCTTCAGTGAGTTGTAACTTTTGTGCTGGTAGAGGGTCTTGCCTGGATGTACATGGCTGCTGACTGATCAGGGTGCTGATTGTTGAAAGTTGGGTGACTGTGGCAATTTATTTTCTTTTTAACAAACCAAAACTACACGGAGGGCTGTGGCAATTTCTTAAAATAAGACAACAATGAAATTTGCTCCATTGATGGACTCTTCCTTTCATGAAATATTTCTCTGTAGCAGGCAATGCTGCATGATAGCATTTTACCCACAGTAGAACTCCTTTATAAATTGGAGTCAAATCTCTCAAATCCTGCCATTACCTAATCAACTCATCCTTTGCTCTCATTTCCACAATGTTCACAGCATCTTCACCGGGAATAGATTTCATCTCAAGAAACTACTTTCTTCATTCATCCATAAGAAGCAACTCCTCACCAGTTAAAGTTTTTTCATGAGATGGCAGCAGTTGAGTCACCTCTTCATGATCCACCCTTGTTCTCTTCCTAGTTCCACCATGTAGGCAGATACCTTATCCACTGGAGCCATGAACCCCTCAAAATCATCCACAGGGGAATACACAGTCTGCTGTCGTTATGTGGAGCATTCGCCACGTGTCACTTAGATCCAGTTAGTCCATGGTGCCATTCAGTTCATCTATAGGTTGCTGACTTTTTTCCATTGGTTCTGTCTGATTTGATTATGTATTTTAAAGCTTTGTAGTTGAATTCTGTGCAAAAAAAAAAAAAAAAAAAAAGAGAGGTAATTTAGCAGGTCCGAAACTACTATCCTTAGAAAGGCCAGCTTGCAAGACTGACCCTTGCCTGGCATCTGTGAACTTGATTTCGGTAGGTTTTCCACCATTCTCCATCTGATAAGAATGATTTACTCTTCTGAAACTGTTTGTTTAAGCAACGTGTTTTATGCTAAACACCAGCTTCCCTTCTGGGAATCTGAAATGCTGTAGCCTGTTAGGCAGAGAGTGCCTATGTGACCAGTCCCCAGTAAAAACCTAGGGCACTGAGTTTCTAATGAGCTTCCCTGATAGACGACATTTTACACCTGTTGTCATGATTCATTGCTGGAGGAACAAATTGTGTGACTCCATTGGGAAGGG